GCCAGCGCTCTCGATTATTGCCACCGCAATAATATCGTTCATCGTGATCTGAAAATTGAGAATATTCTAATCAGTAAAACCGGAGATATCAAGATTATCGATTTTGGCCTTAGCAACCTATATTCCCCAAAGAGCCAGCTGAAAACTTTTTGTGGCAGTTTGTATTTTGCAGCCCCAGAACTGCTTCAGGCCCGTCAGTATGTTGGCCCTGAGGTTGATGTCTGGAGTTTTGGTATCGTGCTCTATGTTTTGGTATGCGGCAAGGTTCCGTTCGACGACCAAAATATGCCCCAACTGCATGCTAAAATTAAGAAAGGCATTGTCGAATACCCACCGGGTCTTTCCTCTGGTTGGTCCGCCGTTTCACAGAGAAGTTGATGTTTGTATTGCTAACAACAATGTTTAGACTGTCGTCATATCATATCTCGAATGCTGGTCACTGACCCGAAACAACGGGCGAGTCTGGGTGAAATAATGAACCATCCTTGGATGATGAAGGGATACAGCGGGCCGCCGGAGAACTTTCTTAAACCACGCGAATTAACACAGCTTCCCTTAGATCCGGACGTTATCAAGAGGATGACTGGATTTGATTTTGGCCCACCCGAATTCATTGCTGCACAGCTTACCAAGGTCATTGAGTCTGAAGACTATCAGAACGCGATCAGGGAGAGCTTGAAAGAGCAGCCGACTCCAATCCATTCAAATGAAAAACGGCGCGGCGTGTTCGACTTTTATAAACGTCGAAATTCGGCAAGCAAAGATACTCTATCCAACCCATCACTTGAGGTCGTACATAGTGCCAGCGATCTTAATAGCGGGTATAACCCACTACTATCGATATATAATCTTGTGAAAGAAAAGCGTGACAAAGAGAACGCAGAGCTTTTGCCCCCATCAAAACCCCTTGGAAACCCACCAGACCTCCAGGCACCGGAAGCGGCGTACACAAACCAAAACGCGTTTGAAATTGCTGGGGAACATGAACATCATGGAAGTAGATCTCGCCCTCGTGCTAGGACCCATGGTGAAGATGATATTACCGATGGTGTTAAGAATCTCAATATAGGCAAAGCGACTGCGCCTATGGCTCCCGCTCTTGTAACTCCACCAGTCGAACCTCCACCGAAGAAAGAAAATGCCGCCGTTGGTTTGCTGCGGCGTTTTAGCACGCGAAGAACTCGAGATAAGCCCCGCGAGATCGACAAAGAGAAAGTCATCCCTCCACAAGCACCGGCAGTAAGTGTCCAGCCACCAGATGATATACCTGCGCCGAGGAAGAGCTTCAGCGTTAGACGGACTAGACGCGGGGATGCAGCTTCGGCAACTCTCCATCCAGATGGTAGCCGGTCTCAGTATCAAGAAATTTCTCGAACCAGCCGCTCAGGAGTTTCGCCGTCCAGGGTCAGTAATCTTCTTGGGAGATCTACAAGTGTCAACTCTGCGGACTATCGTAACAGGAGAGCCAGCAGAAGAGGCGCTGCGGAATTCCTTTCATTGGCACAACCGCACGAAGCTCCTCTGAGCAGCCCAGAGCGATCGAGTTTAAATATTCCGAAAGGAAAGACCGGCGACCTTGCAAACCTAGAACCAAAGAACCGTCCTCAAAACACAAGGACCAAATCCTTAGGACATGCCAGGCGTGAAAGCATCCAAGCACGGCGTGCCCGCCGAGAGGAGGCGAAGGAGAATGATGTACCTGAAGAGACGGACCCTGAAATAGTCGACAACGGGGCGACGGTGAACACGAACGAGGATTCCTTGAAACCCGTCTATCTCAAAGGGCTCTTCAGCGTCTCTACCACAAGTAGCAAACCGTTACCGTTCATTCGATCCGATATTATCAGGGTATTGAAATTACTTGGCGTTGAATTTGTTGAGATCAAAGGCGGGTTTAGTTGTCGCCATGCTCCTAGTATAGAAATCAACCCTAGTACTGATAAACAGGGCAACCTTTCCGGTCATAGGCGTCGCATCAGCCTCGGCGGGATCCGTGCTCATGCCAACGAGGAGAATCGGGATGAGAATAAACCACCACATTCAATGAAAACGTCTAGACGAAACCAAAGAGCTCCAGATCAAAGCTTCATCACCAATTCTGAAGGTTCCGATGAATATGTTGGAGTCCGTGATATGAACGTGGGGGAAAGGGTCATGGGCGAGACAACGACCAAGGTCCAAGCGGACACTGGGACTAACTTGGTTCTGAGATTTGAAATTGTCATTGTGAAAGTACCTCTATTCTCCCTTCATGGAATCCAATTCAAGAAAGTTGCTGGGGGGATGTGGCAGTATCGTGAAATGGCCAAACGGATCCTAGACAATCTGAGATTGTAGGTTACGCCTCGCGATGCAAAATATCCCGAAGAAAACCATCTCGGGCTACTCATCTGGATTCCGGGCTCACCATCGCAATATGAATATTCCTATCTCTTCCCCTCTTATTCAACCGTGGTTGTTGCTTGATCTCCCCGACTTGATTTTGTTTCCATGGATACCGTTGCCCGGTTTTTATTTGTTCTTCATATTTGACGCTCATGACCCCCTTTTTTGCTACCTACCTACCCCCTTTAAATCTCTCCTCACAACCATATAAGTTTCGAAACAGAACTCTATTACTCTAGACAATACCATACATCAGCATTAGCTCCGAGAGCAAGACCGCATGTCGATTTTTGGGAGTCTGGCACAGTTTTGATCTTTCCTGGTTATCTACTTTTCAACTTTGACTTCCCCTTTCAAGTTTATTTCTATTCCTTCTCGTCTATTGGTGCCAATGCCGTCGGTGATGATGTGTTTATTGGGGTTTTAATGCCTGCTTGCCAATCCATGCCCATGGATTAAGGCATCACCCCAACTCTACTATTCCTTTTTTTTTATTCCCCAGTTCCCTCATTTTTTTGCTCTAGCGCCGTTGGGCCTATTCACCCATCTTGATGCAATCCATAATCCCTTTAAGGAGTATTTTATGATATTTACTTTTGGCTTCTCTCCTGTTGGCAGGTTTAGGTATAATACGTCTAATGCGGATATATATGATTCAAGATTTCTATCTTCAAATTAAATTCTGCTCTCCTATTCACAAGCTAAACTTAAATAAAAAAAGTGCCTATTTCTTAGGTGAGGTCCAGCTAGGTAGCCTATAAGTAAGATGATTCCAGACTAAGGGTTGGAAACCAAGTACAGAATTCACGGGTGCTTGCTTAATATCTAGAATGTCAAAAGCTGTTGAGACCTAGATTAGCCTTGGCAACTTGGCTGGTCTAACTTGTGGGGTGGATACACTTGAGTCTAGGGAGCATGCTTTTCAGTTGCAAAGATAGTTCAGTAATTATTAAATTTATATTCCAAAAGGCCTCCAAAGTCTATACAGGTATCTATATACAAAAACGAGAAATAACAAATGAGAAACTAGGGAATCATGGTATACAAAAACCCCCGCCGTGTCGAGGGATGATAGTACCATGCACCCATGCACCACAAACACAAAACAAGAGAAAAAAGGGCAAACCGGCAAAAATCTTATATTGACAGGCTAGAAAGACACTGGCCAGGTGATAATGGTATTGGGTTTATCAAACCATCCGATCGATATACGCGGTTCGGTAGACAGTAGATATGTAAACTCAGGCTAAGCCCTCCATAACTTCACGTATTCCTCCCATGACAAAACGTGGCTGTTGAGATGGAATGGAAAGGATAGTATGTTGATATTTTTCAAACTCTGGTAGTCCGTTTGAATCGATGTGTCGTACGGCCGGAATTGGGGCTACCGGACGGGGCTCCATTAACCCTAGGCTATGTTTTTCAATATTATCCTCGATACACCGGAACCGTTCCTCGTCCAACGCAAGATCAACTGAGGAAGGACGCCGACGAATAAGTAGGGATGGTAATCGAATAGAAGAGGCAGAATGCCACGGTTTGTCACGATGAAATGATGGGGCGAAACGCCTACTGTAGGATGTGCTCCTCGGACTGGAAGTAGGAGAACATGTGGCACTGGAAGTCCTCGATGTCATTGGGGAAGGGTGATCGCAAGTAGATTCGCTATCCATCACGGGAATGGATTTTAATGCAAAAGGGTTGGATAGAGTGGGGCTCATCTCAGCCCACGGTGATGGAAGCAGTCCGTTCTGACCGTCCATCTTGGTTGTCTGGCTAGAGGATTTGAGGGCCTCAAAAAGGTTTATAAGATCTGGCACAGGAGTTTTGGGTAGCATTTATGTATGTGGATTGCTATTCTGTTTAGATGGAACTTGGATATTGGCGCAGACGTAAAGGCACAGCCTCTTTTTTTGTCTGCCCGATGGATTATAAAAGGAGTACGTAGGAGGAAGCTGGAATGTACACAGATGATATAAATCGAAGGATAATTTCGCGCAAGAGACGGAGGAGGCGAGGAGTGGAGCAAAAGAAGATTGATTAAGGAAATGACACGGATCGACCGTTTTATATATACGTGTGCGGATATGATAGAGGGCGATGAAGAGCCTGACTGCCAGGCCAGTGAAGGAATGCAGATGGTAGCTGCTTGCCTTGTGTTGATAAATGAGAGAAAGTGAGGCCCTGGTGAAGGGAAAGAATATATTAAGCAGCATTCGACGGAGAAGAGGGACGGAGTAACAAACGGGAAGGGCTCCCCCAGCCCTTTAAAGAAGGAGAGAAAGAAATAAAAGAGTGAAAGAAAAAACCCCGGCGAGTTGGTTAATGTTTTAAACCGCTACAGAAAAAAAGAGAGTCGTGTTACAGCCTGAAACTCCAACTTGAACCATAAAGTCAAAATGAGCCAACTTGGAAGCCAAGTTAGGGAGACCTTGTCAAAATTAGCTGGTTACTTTTAACTAGCCACTTGGATTGGAATTATTGAATAAAAGAATTTTATTTCACCCTTATTCACTCGAGTTGAGTGAGAGAGTTACGGTCCATAGAGTCAGTAAGTACTACGTGTTAGCCAGCCCTCCGATTTCAGGACGCGAATAGGCCTCTTCTTCAACCAAGGCGCGATGGTAGAGTGGTTAATACGCACGCCTGCTAAGCGTGTTCCTTCGGGAGCGCAGGTTCGAATCCTGCTCGCGTCGTTTCTTTTTTCTTTGTATTTTTTTTTCCCTTCAACCATCCATCATCCATTGACGGTACTTTTATTTTTCAGATATTAAATAAACATTAAACAAGAACAAAACTTTGTGTTTTAGTTATTTATCTTATAGTAGAGGGGTTATGTACCGACTAATTTACAATGAAAAGTTGTCTCTTTTGCTACTGGGGGGTCATTAACAATTAGGTACCTAGTATGTTGGAGAAGATGATGGTTGGAACTAGTTAACTAGTTAAGGGAATTGATAAAAAATAATTAAATCGTTTGTTAACTAAGCAGGCAGATTACGCTAACTAACTTATAACCTCATTCCTCATTCCACTCCACCTGGGGGCTGCTGTTGCTTGGGAGTCTCACTAGCTATTCTCCACGGTTTTCAGCCAACCTGAGAAACGGGTGATTTGGAACTTTCTGCTACCAACATAAAGAGGCTCTGAATATTGAATACGGAGCCCGAAAAGCGGCGTAGCGGAGTGTATCCGTGGGGATCGATGCAATGAATCTTGCGGGATCCGTTGTTTCAGTTTTCCAACGCAGTTCCCGGCAAGGGGGTGGGAGGGTGGTCGCAAGCTGTTCAGGGGTCGTTATTCTAGGAATCCATCAATCCGGCGCTGGTCAGCCAGTGTCTAGGGAAAATCTATATATTTCACTATTTGGGCGTGTGATGGGAGTGATCGATCCTTCCCTACGGCCACATGGAGTTTTGGATCATGCTACCACATCCCTAGATCAAATCCATACGATGTGATCCAGGGGGTAAACGATCAAAAAAGAGACTCCTAGCCAGCAACCAATAGAACATAATGAAAGAAGGATCCATATTTAACCCAGAGATGATAGATCTAAAGGAACGCTGCTTCCCCGACCGGCTCGATACAATTTCTGGCTGCCCGTAAAAGGCCTGGGTTTTGGAAGCTGAGAATCTTGCTGGAACTTGAAACGGGAATCATCAATGTTAAAACTTCTTGGGTGATCGGAACCCGTGATTCTTTGGCTATTATGACGGGATGAACCGCCATTTGCTAGGGTGTAAGAACTGGGGTCAAGCATTGACCTGACCGGTGGTTGATACTGGGGCATAGTATGTTGGTTGTCGGAGTAAGATGACGGGCGCGAAGAAAGAGGCGTTGATATCAAGGAAGAGGTCCTGGCAGACGATGGAGGGGATATTGGAGGAGGCGGAGGAGGCGGAGGAGGATGGGATCCGCTTTGGGGAGGGGGAGGAGGGGGTAGCGGTGCAACCCCATAAGCATTACGAGCAGCCTGCATCGCAATTGACGCTGCCTGGGCCCCGTTTTCAGTGGGAGCTGCCGGAGGTGGTTGCTGAGGCGGTAGTCTAGGAGCTGCAGAGGGTGTGGGAGGTGGTCCGGACGGTAGTGCAGGTACTGAAGATGTAACCTGCTGTGAAGGTGTGAAAGAAGGAGGTGGATATGGAGCCGAAATCTTTCGCTGGCCTGCTGGGTTTGGTGGAGGCGGAGGAGGCCTGGCGGCTCCAGGGACTGGGGGCGGCCCTCGGGGCGGAGGTATGTCGGGTGCAGACTTTGTAGACAGAAGTGATATCGATGAAGACGGTCTCTGTGATGGCCGCGGCGGAGGTTTGCGCAAGTTGGCTACTAAAGGATTGACGGCAGGTTTTGCTGGTATATTTGGCGATTTAGCTACAATAGGCCCTAGGTTCGAAGTTCTTGGGCCTTCGGAGTCCGAAAGATATGAGGCATTGGCATTGGCACCAGTATCGATCCCACCACGCTTCTTGAGCTTTGGCATCCCTCCTGCAAACAATCCTCCAAGCTGTGGTGGTGCTAGTGCAGAGGCACCACCATCAGCACCATCGGATTGGCCCCTGCCGCTATCACTATTGCTTCTTAGTCTTCCCTGAGCATTGCCTGGAATTGCGGGTGCTAAACCAGCTGGAGGCTTGGCCAAACCTGGGACCGGAGGAGCACCGGCCACTGAATGACCGCCCGAGCCACCAGACCCTTTTCCAGCTATCAATGGAGACGATCTGTCATTAGTGACTGTTTTCTTTAGCCGGGCACCTTTAGAAATATCCGTAAGAAGCGCCGACTATATTGTCATTAGCCAAATACCCTGTATGAACGCGAAAGCAAAATATAACAGATAGGAAGCCGCCTAACCCGATCTTTCGCAGCGCCTTTAGGTGGCCCAGCTCTGCCGCCTATGCTCGGAGGGCCTCCAGGAGGTGGAGGAGGCGGTGGAGGAGGGGGAGGTGGTGGTGGCATGCTGCCAGCAAGAAATGTCAAGAGAAGGTATGCGGTGTTTGTTTGAAGGGATGACCGTTCACGTCATGGAATTCCCGGCAGCCTATGAATTCAAAACCCTCTCCGGCTTATGAGAAGCTATTCCTGACAGGTGCCGTTCTACTATTCGAGACCAGAAATGAGGAATGTATGTCTCCAGATGGTTGAAAGACTGTGAACCGAAGGCTGTCATGAAGCTGACGATACCGCCATTACATAAGCCATCGTTCAAGTGTTGAACCTACTTGACCTTCTGAAAGGATTTAGTTATGGAGGACTTTGAACAACTTGAAATTCCATTGATGTTTTATACCTAGTGGTTTTATTAGATATATTATGAAACGAATCGGGTTCCAGGCTCGAAACAGAGCTCGGGGCTCGATCTGTCAAGTTTGCGCCTTTTCCAGTGTTTCCGAGTTCGGGCTGCTACGACCTTCTATCCAAATACCCCAGCAGCGTCCTCTTCCAAAGAGAACCTTTCCGCCACCAAATACTTTTCTATGCCGCCCTAGCTCGACCGTATCTAAACGCCAAGGCGACAATACTGACTATGGCTCGTTGCTCAATGGTATACTTGAAGATACTCGAACCATAATATCCGACCCGAAACTGCCACCGGAGCAGTTGGTGCTGAATCTTTTCAAGCGAAGCCAGGCGCTTCTCAACTCTATACTCTCCAGCGATAAAACAAAAAAACTCTCCAGCAAGAAAAATGAAAGAGAAGATGCAATATCCTCTCTGCTGGAGCTTGAGGACGAAGAGCCGACCCCTCCACCAAAAAAGCCACCCCCCCGTCCAAACGAAACGATATCCAACCTTCAAGAGAGGGCAGCATCGGAAATGTCTTCGATGCTAAATAAGTTAATACGTGACCCTAAAGTCTTTATATCGCCGGAGATTCTTCACCTGTATACCACAATCCAATGCCAACTCAAAAATGTTGATAATATCCCGAAAATTTTTAACCTCTACGCAAATAAACCAGCCCCGCGGGCCAGCGGTGATACAATTGAATATCATTCTACGAACCCAAACAATCCCCAAAATGCCATCCCCACGGATCTTGCAAACCAAGCTCTCCAGGTTGCCATGGAGCAGAAGAATCTAGCCCTTTCCTTGGCCATCATTGATAGTGCATTCTGTACACCTGCTTTCCGCCGATCTAAGGTCATGCGAAAAACCGCAATACCGATGGTTGGGCTAGCGGCAGCACCGCCTGCTGCTTATATGGCAGCTTCTTATATTTCCACCCTTCAGGATACCATGGATGGCTCTACAGCGACGTGGATAACATTCTCTGCAATCTTAGCCTACATAACATTTACTTCCTCCGTGGGGTTGGTGGCAATTGCAACTGCGAATGATCATATGAATCGAGTGGTCTGGATGCCTGGAATGGCCCTACGACAACGTTGGATGCGGGAAGAAGAACGCGCTGCTTTGGATAAAATTGCCCAGGCATGGGGGTTCAAAGACCCACTCATGCGTGGAGAAGAGGAAGGAGAAGAATGGGATGCGCTCCGCGAGTTCATTGGTATGAGAGGAATGATCTTAGACAAAACAGATTTAATGGAAGGTATGGAGTGAAGGTATGTAAGTGGACTCTGTCAGCCTGGAGTACTTTGTATTGTATATAGATTTTATCTACATAAATTGTGGAAGTAAAATGTTGGTTGAGTGCGTAATGTCATTATGGTTTTTGACTTTGATTTTTTTTTTAAAAAAAGAGTAGGCCATTCAGTACATGAAAGATAAATACATTATCAAGCTTGGAGCTCTCAATCCATGTTGAGTTTAGTACACTCTCTTAGGGGGAGACATGGAAGCCTTGATGGTCAGACTTCCGACGTTCTGCCATCCCTTCTTCAACAAGCTGACGAGGTAGTTTATAGCCAACATGATATTAGAGATCAACTCATCCTCGGTCATTCCAACGTTTCCAATAGCAACACCCAAGCAAAGCTCTTTCTTGAGCTGGAACTTGATGGTCGATTTAACGTCGTTCATCTTGTTGGTGAGATCCTCGGCGTGGGAGACGGGAGTTGGGAATTTACCAGCTAGAAATTGTTAAAGTTAGATTCGTAAAACTTGGTGTATATCAGAAGAGGGCCGAGAATCACTTACCCTTGGAGAGACCAGGACCCAGCAAACGAGGAATCTGTCGGACCAAAGATTCAGAAGCAAGGAAAGCATCGTACTTGCGGGCAAGCTTCTTGATGAGTTTCTTGTTCTTATTGAGCTTCTTCAAATCCTCAGAGGACATGGCATCAACACCAAGGTGCTTAGCACGATCGATATCATGCTGGTCACCAAGGATACTATAAATCACCACAGAAATCAGTCAATTCTATCGTGCATCAACCGAAGGATACTGAGATATATAATATTCGGCGAAGATATATATAACATACCAGATTGTCATTCTTGGGCGGGGAAGGGTTGGGAGCTTGATGGTTCCGGAGAAACGCTTGTCACGCTGAGGGTCATAGTTCTTCAGGCCGATCTGGAGCTCGACGGTCTCGAGGAAATTTCTCTTCTTCTCATTCTGGGAATAATCCAGAAGCTGCTGGACGTTTTGACGCACTCCGGCTAGTTATTACGAAGAGGAATGATTAGCGAGTCAAGGTTTTTGTATCATAATTGCAGGTAAATCGACGAATGATACAACATACCGACTGTGACTTTAGACATGATGAATACAGTCTTCCAGAAGAATACTTCA